CCACCACGACACACCACCGACACCTTTCCCGTGTGCCAGCCTCCGCGGTGCCAGCTCTCTCAACCGTCCACCCCGACACGCCGACGGAAACTTTCGACACCGTGTGCCAGCTCTCTCACCGTGCCAGCTCTCTCACCCATGTACGTTCTCCCCGTGCCAGTTCTCTCAGCCGTTTAATAACACGGTGGTGCTAGCTCTCTCATTTTTACCCTACTAATGTCTACTTAAAAGTATAACATTTATTCTTGATTTAAATATAATTAGTTTAACAAGTACTTAGGTTTGCTGCATCAGGGAGGGTAAAACTGTTTGTTTTTTTTTTTTTGTAAAATGTGAATAGTTAGTAAGAAATAAAAACATTTTCCAAATTTGATCAAAATATGTTCACAAACAAGCAAACTACAACAGTTTACTTATTCTCCATAAGAATAACATGGGAATTTTAAATTTACAATTTTTTGGAATTTTCTCCGTAACCATGAGGCGCATAATAACGCTTCACTATACTAAATTATTTGTTTTTTTAAGCTCTACAAAATGGTTCGAAAAGAAATTGCTAAATTTTATGTTTTTTGGGTCAAAATGGGAAAAATCTATTTTTACCCCATAAAACCCCCCGTAAGCCCCCGTTCCCATAGTCCGATCATGCTGGATCGCGAACTCGTTCGAATAAACGTACGTTTACACGTTTGTACCAAATTTCATCAAAATCGGATCATTTTTGCTCGAGTTATCGTGCTGACGGACACACACACATAAATATATATATATATGAATTTGAACGGATGGTGTTTTTGGCCTCTAGGGACCTCAAAACGAAAAAAAATCGGTCCCGCGTCCAGGTCTTACCATGCGTACTACGGTAATAGCGTATTCCCTATATGGGAAATTCGCTAAAATGTATTAAATATAAAGATCGTTGACAGTAGTTTTACAAAAGTGGAAAACGTTCTAATTCGAATTCAATTGGTAAACACAATTTTCCTTCACAATTATTACAATTGGTTGTACCGATCTTGGGCCTAACAATGTGGGGAAATGGCCCCTTATGATAAACTATTGAAAAGATTGCAAATGTCTGGACATATTCTGTGCAGCATACAATCGCTCATTTCATTTCCTATTAACGATGAACAAGAGTTGTTCACTTGTTTAACTAAGTAAACTATTTGGACAAACAAAACCCCTGTGATTATCCATCATACTCAACAAATATCGAACATTTTATCAACTGTATCCAAGAATTTTAATACCGTTTCTGTTCGACTAACCAACACAAGTTAACTTCTCATGCCATAGTAAATTTTAAAGCTTATTTTCCGTGTCTAATTCATGTCCGGTGACACTGATCGCTAGTATCGATGAAATTCTTTTTCTGTTATTTTAGGGCAAATTTCATGATTTGTCTTTACTGTCTGGTTACCTATATAATTAGGGGACAAGTTATTGTTCATCGTTAGATCATTCTATAAACGATGTTTAAAATTACTGAAATCACAAGAAACAAATTGTAAACAAAATCCGACCTCAACAGTACACTGGACGGAACTAACAATAAAATTGGCTTCAGCTGCTCTATAAGGAGAATGTTTTATCTATGATTTAGGAGAGTAAGTATTGAACAGCCTGGTGCATCCCATTGCACTCTCCATCTCTCTCTAACTGCAGGTACAACATGTTCTGTCTCACTCCCACCCATCTAGGAGTATTGAACCCGGCTCGTGACACACTGTCTGCCCTGAACTGCACTTCGTTCTGTTCTTTGTTATTGAATCATGAATGATGAAAACGGAACTGGAGCAAGAGATTCTGAAGAGATTAATTCGTGGAGGGCAATCTGAGGAGATTATTCTGCAATAGAATTGTGCATTTATTAAGTGCAGTAATATTTTTATAATTTTTCATGGAAGTCGCATTTTATGTTTCTGGAGTGTAAATATAAAATGTAAGCATATATTCTATACTATGCGAAACAATGAACTTTAATAGTTCCAAAAATATTTACTTGTATATGTTTGCGGTCAAACTTTAAAAAGCGATCATGATTTGCTACCTTTTCAGTTTAAAGTTTCGTTTTTATTTCCATCGTTGTTTTTTTTATGTATTTTAAATGACATGTTTTTATAAACCAAATAGAAAAACTGTAGATTTTCATAAATCATGGTAGAAATGTCATAGCAACTACCACCTATCATCGCTTGTTGACAAGCTAATGGGAGAAAATATGTGTCGGATATCTGATACAGTTTATTTAACTAACTTATACTTATACAAGTTGTTGGTTTCATATTAGATTACAAAATAATGATATCTTTTAGGTTGGATTGTGGCTCTTGCGATAAAAATCCAAAACTATAAACCTAACTCTCGGACTCTCCTGTCATTCGGCGCTGTCCACAAAACATCGGAATGAATGGCTACGTTGGTTTACACCGATCGTTCATCAAAACACGACATTTTAAATCATAGTGTAAGTGTGAGCGAGTTGACTTGCTTGGATATCCTTCCACTAAATTCTCATTAACTCATTCCTCTTTACAGGCTTTTAGAGATTAGGAAACGGAATAATTGCGAAAGAAATATTCCTAAACAGTTGACCACATCACATACTGGGAGTAAATATAAGGTTTAACTAGTTGGGACTTAATTCTATATCGTATCATAGTTAAATAAAAATAACTAATGCAACCAAACTATAATTGGTAGTCGCTGCTTCAACAAGCAAGAACTAAATTTATATCGCAACAAATGTGAATTGAAAGTTCCATGTGTCATTGTTGTGATATGATTCAATTTTGTGGAGTCTTATATTTCTCCACTTGGAGTCTCATATTTCTCAGCCTCTTTGTAATTACTTTATATAAGCGGTATCATATATTTTTAATTGTTTTACAAATATATCTAGTCGTTTTCCGGTGATAATAGTTAATATCTTGAACTACCAACTTATCATAAAACTAATACAAAACCAGCGTATTGAGGGCGTGATTTTTAATTAATTTTCAATGTGTTTATAATACCTTTGAATTCAGAAAACAATAACTTAAACAAAACAAATCACAAGAAACATTTACACACAACAAACGCAAAAGCTGGCGTGTTCAGTGCATTATTTCTCGATCACAAATTAACAGATTGAAGAATGAAACCATATGTTTCACAAATCTAATTAGATTTAGTTGGTTTAATATCACCTGGGGCCCATTTCATAATAAAGTACAAACTAATATTATTAGTAAATCAGCTGATCGCCCGATGCAAATCTAATGGAATACAAGTGTAGTCTATATATATAAAATCCAATGTATGTTTGTCCTTTATGGACTCCGAAACCGCTCGACAGATTGTAATGAAACTTTCAGGCATTATTAAGCATTATTCAAGGATGGTTTGTGTGAAGTTTGGTGCAGATCCATCAAAAGGGCTCCGCCCCAGTGGCTCTGGAGTTTCCCATGTTAACCTTATGAGTACTCATATTTAAATGGAATTAAAGAATCTTAACAGCTGGTTCAACTAAACTATCTGATTCTGTGATGTTCAATAGCATTAAAAAGATAATAGGTTTACCAACAGGGTGCAGCACTATATTTTTTTAATTTATGAGAACAGCTAGCTTGCAACCAAAAGGTGAGTGAGCGTAGCGAACGAACTTCAACCTGGAGGCGAGTTAGCGTAGCGAACGAGCTAACCTGAAGGCAAGTGAGTGCAGCGAACGAGCTCCAACCCAAAGGTGATTGAGCGTAGCGAACGAACTTCAACAGCTAATTAGCAACCAAAAGGTGAGTGAGCGTAGCGAACGAACTTTAACCAGGACATGATTAAGCCATGCGAACGAACTCATCTTGAAAATCAACGAGCATTTGACATAAAACCACATTAGGACAGGACGACGTCTGTCGGGCCAGCTAGTTTATTATGAAATGGGCCCCTGGTGTTGATATTGTTTGGCGGTTAAAGTTTAAAGAAAATTCGACCGAGTCATCAAATAGGATTTTAAGTGTTACCGGCATGACAGCCACAAACCGACGTTTTAGAGGGTAAACCCCTTTAATTATAATTTTCCGTGGGATTTTCCTACACGAGGTTGAAAATAAGCATCTTGGCATCTTAGAAATAGTTTTAAATAATGTCCTTCCAATACGCCTTGATGTCCTTCTCAGTAATAAGATGGTAATTTTTAGGTGTATAGTAATTACATCGGCTAGAAGAGATACCTTCGGTAAACTTTAACCGTGTTTAAACTACTTTGACACGGTATTCGCTTGAATACCACAAATCTCCTTAAATTCTACATTACTCATATAGTGTGTTATATTTCATGTATGAGTTTTGTTTGAAGTATAAGTATTGTAAATGTCATACCTTTAAACCAATGATACTACTTAACTAATTCGTGCAGGTCTACTTGTTATGATTTATATATGTAATTATTTATTTCCAAACCTTTTTTACGAATGTTCCACATAAAAAATTACCGTATGTCTAATCTTAAATTAAATATTTTAGTGGAAATCCAATTAGGCAAAAGGAAATTCACAGTCTGCAGGTTAACTGCTACGGGGCTATTTATACAGTTATCAGGTAAAAAAGTGTTTAACACTTTTTTGAAATCTTTCACTAAACTTTAAATTATGTCCACTTATGATAAAATTAATTTCTGATTTAGTAAACGAAGAAAATGCTGAGGGTTATAAGTCTGAAACTTCGTGGTCTACTTAATAAACACTTAATTTTATTTACTAAACACGGATCATTCGATGCAAGTAATTTTCTACCTACAGTAAGGAGGTGAGAATAAAAATACAATACTTTACACCACTTCTACAATATAGGGCCTAAGTAAACAGGAACAAATTAACATAATATTTCCATACATTGAGTGACTCCTTTGTAACTCTAAGTGTCACGAAATTTAGATAACTTAACAATTTTAAATGATAAGTTCGTAACAAATTTTTCTACAATTAAGTTTCAAGCAAAATTGTAACAACGTCACGTACCTTATGGGGAGGCCTCGGATCGCTGATCAGTTTGGTGGTGGACCCCATAGGTGTGTGGTTGTGAGGGGGGGCTCCAACCCCCCCGCTAGTCACCATGCTCGCCCCCGTGGCTCTAGACACACTACTTCCCCCACTGACACTAGGACTTCCTTCACACGCGGACGGCGCGGTTCTACTGAGCGGCGACGGCGGAGTCGTCAGTCGATAGTCGCACAGGAACCGGAACACCCCACTGATCTCGTCCTCGGCGACGGTGCTGCTGCTAGCGGGGGGTCGCGGAGACCCGGGGAGAGAGATCTCCTCTCCGGAGTCATCTGAAGCCTGCAACATAGGAAATTGTTTAGAAACAGAAACAAAGAAGTAAAAGGAACTAGAATATATTTTCATTATCAAGAGGGTACAGTTAGTTGTGTGTTGTGTTCCTTAGTGCCAGGGGAAGGTTTTATGTAAGGATATTTATAATCCATACAAAAGTTATTTCGTAATTTGATTTAAAAAACGCCTTTACATTAGCTCACTCACTTCAACCTGCAGGCGAGCGAGCGCAGCGAACAAGTTCCAACCAAAAGTGAGTGAGCGTAGCGAACGAACTTCAACTATTATTAATGTTTTTGAGGTATACATTGTTTAGACTGACCACGTTTTGGTTATTATTGGAAAATTGTGTTGTATTTTTTTAACGTTATTGTGTGGAGTGTTTGAGTAAATTAATGAAAAATTAAGAGAGAAAAAATAAAACTCATGTTATCAAGAAGAACAGAAAGGAATAATGTTTATTTATGTAATACAATGGATTATCTTTTAATCATCAGCTGTTTTAGTAATTTAAAAATTCTAAACAGGCTAAAGAAAAATTTTAGATAAAAGAACTGAACATACTCCCGGCCTTGAAGTGTCCTCACTTCAACAGTTAGTTTAGAATAAAAAACATTGACACAGTTTGTCGTAGGCTGGCTATAGCATCTGGTTGCTTTTTTCTACTTTTTTCAGTTATTATTCAACGTTCTTATTTGATATTGACAGTAAAACGGCTTTTGCTATTCGTATTCATATTGCAAACACTCATATGTAAACTGAAAGGATAGATTGTAATTATTCTTAATATGGATCAGAATGAAGGGTGAGGTTAAAATGGAATAAGATGATACGTCAACTAAGATTTATTTCTTATAAGATTTGCCATTTCTTTAGCCAGGTCCATTTACTATAACATTCCAATAATCAAGCGCAGTGGCTATCCAGTTTCAAACATTCAAAATGCTACCGACTTAACAGAACAAACAGGCAACATTTTGATAGGAAACGTGAGCTAAGTCCTGATTCGGGACTTGTTTGATGTAAAAGAAGTATGGAGCGACAAACAGTACACAAAGCCAAAGAGCAAAACATTGTGAGTTATTGCTAAAGTTTTCTGAAACTCTTGAGCTGAATCTGTGAATCTAACAACACGGAGTAGTGTAAAACTCCAGCAAAGTTTGCTCTCGATACTTCACACTATACAAGATTTATATTAATTAGTCTCGACTGCTGATTTAAAATGACGATATGAACATTGGTACATGACACTGTAATTAATGCGAACATTTGATTTAAAATAAGGAAGGTAAAAACAAAAAAAAACAGTCTAAGGAATTGTCTTTACTTTGGTTTAGCTTTATCATGAAAGGTTATATGTTCAACATTGTTTGTGACTAGTTTTTTTCTATATAGCCAACAGTACAGTAATAACAATTAAGTATTCACAAAATACAAGTTTGGAAAATCCCAAAGATTACAAACAAAATACAGTGTATCTTCAACACGTACTTAACATCAATCTTAAACATAATGTAGTTTATATAAGACAATCTATTTTTCCTACAGTTACCTAACAATGTACATGTTCTCTCACTGATTTGAGAAAGCAAAGTGGCCAATTCGCTCAACATTGTCTCACTCTAATTACTTTGTCTCACTCCAGATTTGCAACGTGAAGGAACGAAATAGTGAGCGTGTAACATGCAGGCAACGTCGTATGCGCGCGAAATACGTTGGCAGCACTGGCTGTAAATCAGCTGGTCAGCTGTTGTACTGTTGTATTTGTCACTTCACGTTAAATGTTATATTAAAAGTTCACTTCTGTGTAAAAATAGGTTATGTTTCTTCACCAATTTATTTGTTTTATGGTAACTGTAGGAAAAGTATAATGTGCAACTCGAGTTCAAAGTACAATTGCCTCACTCAAGAAACCATTCCTCACTCGCCTACGGCTCTTGAGTAAGGATTTCTCTCGAGTGAGTCAATTGCTCACTTTTCTCACTAGTTGCACAAATAACTATTTCACTTCAATTAGAATAACACACAATTTTTAATTCCATGTTCTGCCAGTAACCGCCTTGAAATTAGTAAATAAACATATTTTACCTCAAAACCACATTTCTTCTTATAGCGCGATTGTTCTTCTACGCTTGTTTCTTAAAACCACGCTTTGTTATGTTGTAAAGAATAATATATTTCAAATTGAATATGTAAAATATTTATAGTACAGTATATTTTTTTTTTAGTTTTAAAAATGTATGAAAACACCAATTTTTCAAAAGTTTTATTTTCTATAAAAAGTCTAACCAGTTTGTAGATAGTTCAGTACTACAGTTCACCTTTCTACTGTACCGACTCACTCCTTGCTTTGCTGTAAACGTTCCACGCACGGGCGTTAGTCTATGTGGACGGGCAAATGCAAGGTTAAAAGAGGCCGCCAACCTCTTAAAAAAAGTTTTCAAATGCTTATAGGCATTTTTAACATGACGTGTAAAAGTACAGTAGATAGTAAATTCTGAACATGTTTAGATGTTTTGTGTGGAACATCCGAACGAAGATGTGATTTGGAAGGTTGTTTGAAAATTTATCAAATTAAAGAAATCGAGAATCCCCTGAAATGTTGATCATTTCATAAATCAATGTTAAAATGAATAAAAAAAGCATGTTCTTGCTTCTTATATAAAAAATAATTTGTCTTTCAAGCACTTTCCAATGGAATGTATGGTTTGCAAAATAGATTTTTGGAAATAAATTAAAAATACAACAAGAGATTGGAAATTTGACTAATTGTGATACAAGTCATGTGTGTCATAATTTATGTCTAAGTACAATTTTTACATACTCTTTCCAGCCAAAATATTGTATTTCTTTTTAGAAGCAAAATACCGTGACATATATTTTTAACACATTGTATCCTCGTCTGACCAAGACGTTTTTATGCCAAGCACCACCTAAATGGGCTTAGTCTGTTATTTTCCAGGTAAAAACAAGATAAATGACGTGAACACTTTTTGTGTATCTCCTACTTTACAAAGGAAGGATTTTGAATAAAACCTTTCAAAGTGTTTCGCATTAGAACAAGATTTTTTTAGTTTTGGAAAATGTTGATAAAAGATTCTCAGGACCATTGGGGTTTTAAGTCCAACCGTAAAATAATTTAACGTTATGAATATACTCATTCATTATGTTTGATTTATAATTTACATACATTCATTCATGCTTTTAAATTATAATAATCATGCTCACATTGCAGAATAAAGAAGGAGACGAGTGAATTAACAGGGTGTCAATAAAAAAACTTTCAGGACTTTGAGAAATGAATCATCATACTAAAAGGAAGACAAGAGTAAAACCTATATGTAACCGAAAATGCATATTTACCCAGATATCCGCCATTTTGTTTGTTATACAAAAATATTTTTATCTGTGAAGTTTTTCATTCGATGATAATGAAATTTGGTATGCATGTTAACATACACAAGACCTATTATAGAAAAATAGTAAAGTTGCTCCAATTGGAAATTTCAAAATGGCAGCCGTTTGTTCTTTTATAATTTAAATAACCCAAAAACGGATAATTCTATGAATAAATGTCAGTGATACTTTTTTGAATTTTTAATTCCCTATCAAACGATATCAAGAACAAAAAGTTCGGACGACAAATAACAGAAAAATAACGTGTTTGGTGTAAAAATAAGGCAAAGTTAGCCGAGGAACACTTAATTTTGCCTGATCTTACAACTAAAAAATTCTATTTTTCTATTCTTTTTAGGAAGATGATTAATTTTCCAAAGTCCTGAAACGTTTTTTATGGACACCCATAATTAATGATGATAATAATGCTTTTAAAATCCAGGTCGACACTAGATAACAACACTTTTATTCTTATTCTAATTCTGGACCCATATGCCGATCATCATTCATCAATCATCAATTAATGATGCTATCTAACAAAATATCTACGTTTGATAGTAACAAGTGCAGGGTTTGGACGGTTCCATAAACAATCGTAACATATAAAATGGCGTAGAAAACACAGATAAAGATTAAAAATACGAGCAATTGAATTTATAAAAAAAACACTTCATAAAAATGTCAAGAATGGCCATAGTTCTTACGACAAAAGGATTATTTCATTACCAGGAACCATTATTCTGGGAAACAAAAAGATGTTGACTAATTATTTTTAGTTATTTTTAAATAGCTCTAGTACAAACCAACTACATCTGAAACATCATTTGGATATTGTCTACGTTAGATAGTAGCAATACCAGAATTTAACCTCCCACCACAAAAAAAAAAATAAATAAAAATAAAAATACAAAAACACTTAAAAATATAATGGCATGAAAACACACAAAATAAAAATAAAAATGGGCTACAAACAATTGTTATGCATGCTATTTCGAAATAAATGCACAATTTTAAACTTTTACGTAAACTATTTTTTGTACGCCTAATTTAAACCAGACGAAACAGACTGTCATCAATCTAATTTATCCATCATTACAACTGATAGATTTCAAGGCAAATAGTAACAAAATCAGAGTAAAAAGTTAGCAGAATGCAGCCACTGACTGTAGCTGTAGGTTCTGGTATTGATTTCCTTAAATAATGCACTGGAGGGGAAAAGCCCTCAGACGACTTGAATCTCTAGCCTGGAAACATTTACACCATCTCCTGCAGGATTAATGACTTGAGGTTGTAACTTATCGTTAGCAAGTCTCCTGCAAGTGTGCAAGCTCAGTTGTTACGACACAAAACTAGTTTGTAGCTTTCCTACGTTTCTTTTCCAGTTTTTTGCTTATCGTCCTCAAATATTTCTTTGGTTTAGCCTTTGGCTATTCTGCTTTGCAGTTTTTTGTGTGGTTTTGCGCCACTGGTTCTCGGCGTTTTTATTGGGATTTGTCCTATCCCAGATTTTGACACTGACGGTACAAGTATCACGTATTGGGAGTGCGTAAAAATACATTGGTGTATCTACGATTACTGCATACAACATTAGATATTGAACGTAGAAATAT